AAAGTACCAATACTATGTGTGGGGCATGCCTCTCACAGCTCAGAACTCATAAAGGGTACGTACATGTCGAGATACAGCCAGTGCTTTTACGGGTTTTTCATGAGTTATCCTCCGGTTCATCGCCACCTCCGAATGCCTCGCACGCAGCGATAAATTTGCGAACTGACTCGATATTCTCAGTCAGCGGGTAAGCCTGGAGCCGCTTGTCGCCATCGCAGAAGTCACGATACGCTACGAAGCCCACGCGCACTTTGGCCTTTGGATGATCCTTCTTGACGTTGTCGATGATGGTGATGATCGAACTCTTGGCGGCCTCGGTCTACGGATCCATAGACCCCGTGCAATCCATGACGATGACGAAATCCAGCGTGTTCGCTCTCCCCAGTCTCGCCTTAACCTCCGGTCGAGCCTTTTCAACATTACCCTTCATCTCATTGTGGGCGAGATCGAACTGTGTTGACTTCGAGTCCCCCTTTACCTGTGCCGTTTTGGCATCCTTTCCGACTGGTTTGGTGGCACGCGGCTGTGGTGGCAGGGGGGGCTTCGCGCCTCCGCTTGAGGCTGCAGTGCTGCCGGTTTTGAATGCCGCGAGCTGGGCTTCCAGTCTTGCGACCTCGGCCTCTTTCTCTTCAGCTCGGATGACGCTCGCAGACTTGGCTGCAGACGCATTCGCTTCGACAACCTTGGCCCTGTGCATTTCATCGAGCCGAGCTTCCAACTTGGCCGCCTTGGCTTCTGCTTTCTCGTAGCGGAGTTGGCTGTCAGACTTTGTTGGCGCCGACTTCGCTGCCTCCGCGCGTCGCATTTCTTCCATTCGCGCTTCTAGCGCTGCAATTTTCGCCTCAGCTTGCTCGGCGCGCAGGACACTCGCAGATTTAGGTGCAGCCACCTCCGCTTCAAGGGCAGCCACCTTCTCTTCCAGAATCCTCGCCTTGATAGTGCTGGCAGACTCCTCGGCCGGAGGAGCGGGGATAGGAACAGGAGCTGGTGCTGGTGGAGGACTGCTCGCAGCCAGCAGCTTCAGCAGCGCCTCCCTCTTGGCTTCAAGCTCCACGACTTTTATCGCGCTGGCAGACATTCCTGGGTTTGATGCCATGGCGCTCTCGCTGCGGATGCCCGAAGGCGACGGCGACTTGACACTTCAGTTGCTTCTTTCAGACTGAGCTTGTCTGTCGCTGCCATCGTGGTGGTCGACATCCTCGTGGACGTTAAGACAACCCGCTTGGCTCTTAATTGGCACTCGTCCGCGTAGTTGGGAGGAGGAGGTTAACCCCCCGTTCTGGTGGCCTGCGCCGCTAAGAAAGCCAAATCGAGGTTACCTATTCCAGGCCAACCAGTATAAGATTCCTCGCGGGGGGTCCTTACTGCAGCACCGACAAAGAGCAGCTTCTCCCTGCTGTCGTAGTCGCCACCTCAACGTAAAGGTGACGAACGCGCCAGTTGATACTTTGGATGCAGCAGCGCGCTCACGGCCGACCACGCCGCCGTAGGTACTGTAGGTGTCCTCTCCGAACATCCTGCCATTCCCGCCAGCAGATCCGCGGCCATCAGCTTCGCTCCAATTGCCACCTGCAAGCGGACGATCATGCAGTTGTTGGCCTCTCGAAAGAATGCCCAACAACAACAACATCTTGACTTGACACGGGCGTCCACATGGCTACATGCAGAAAGCCAGTCGCAGATCACTGCGCCTATCTCGACGGATCCGGTTTCGACCAATGTCTAACGGCCAGCGCACGACCAGCTCCTGGTACAGTCTACAGTAATAGCGGCGGCTAGCTCGAGATCAGTTGGCGATTCACCAAGTCTCACGCACACACTGCACGCCGAACACCTCCGAGCCATGCAGGGAATCTTCACGCTCGCGCTGCTGCTGCTGAACGGCTGGCTGGGCCACGCCGAGGCGGTGGACGGCCCTCGCTTCATGGGCGGCGCTGTCGTCGAGAACGCCAACAACTGCAACGGCAACGACTGCACCACCGCGCCCGTGGTGCACACGCTGCTGGCGCACGCAGACAAGGACAAGGATAACTGAGCCGCACAAGAAGAAGAAGGAGAAGGAGAAGGAGGAGGAGAAGGAGAAGAAGATTTAACAACCGTCTCTACGAGGCGCAGACGCGCACTCTCGAGGCGGCGTATGCATTAATATATTAGCCCCGGTCAAGGGAGCTGCCTGTTCGTCTAGTAAACCATTGTCCAGTGGGCCTGGTAAAATCTTGTTTTGTGTGTAGGTGACGTCGACGCTGTCACGAAGCTGAAGTTGCAGATGAAGTGAGGATGCTCAAGTCTGAAGTTGCCCCTAAATGGAGACGTGGGGCTTGTCGGTGGGTGATGCGGGCGGGGCTGTATTTTTGGCGGACAACGGCCCGTGCTGGTGCAGTGAGCGCGGGCTGTTTCGCAGCGCAGGAATAGGTGGTCGGGTGCTGCAGAGGCAAGCGCGCGGGGCCAGTTCGACTTCCAGCGAGTGACAGGAGGAGGAGGGTGATGGCGCTCTCGACGCAAGCCTTCGGAGGCGCGGGTGATGGCAGTAGGTCCATGGCGTCGCTCACGCAGTGGAAGGAGCGACAGCAGCAGTGCGCGGAGCAGGTGGACATGCAGGCGCTGCTGAACAATGTGCGCGCTTCGCTGCGTACGCAAGGCCTCATGTGAGTTGAAGCCTGAAAAGAAATCCGTGACCTGAGCTTCTAGTTCTAATCTTTTTGCTGCTGTGATGTGTGAGCAGCGCGTGGGTGAACGTGAGCCTTGCCTTGGAAAAAGCGCAGAGCGAGAGTGGCGGCTTGACCAACGGCGCGCTCAAGCGCTTGCTTAACGACTGTCGAGTGCCGATCTCGGACGTGGTACGAACGGCACACTTCTGACATTTGAAGTCGGGACAGTCCAGCTGACCTGGTAAACTATCTGCTGCTGCCATTCACACAGGACGCTCGAGCTCTGGTCCAGCGACTCAATCAAGGTGCTGAAGAGGATGGACGCGTGACAGCAGACGCGATTAAAAATCTCATCTTCGTACGTCCTGCTCGGAATCGCGCTAAGAGCTCGTGTTTTGGTTCAGCTATTCTAACAATTCGTGCTGCAGGGCTCAATCTCTGGACGAAAACTCGAGTTCGTGCAGTCCGCTTTTGATACGCTGGATCGTAAAGGTGTCGGATACCTGGCACTTCAAGATGTCTTGGGTGCTCATGATGCCGCGCGCCACCCTGCCGTGATGTTTGGTGAGCAAACGGCCGAGCAAGCCGCACGAGAATTTCAGACTGCGTTCATGACTGCAGCGCGTCGCACGGGCACCGCGTTCGTCAGTTGGGCCCAGTGGCTGTCGTATTTCCAGTGTGTTGCTGCACAAGCCCCCAGCGATGAGTACTTCGAGCTTCTGATGAAGCGCGTGTGGCACGCGGACACGCGTCGCTCGCTCCAAGAGGCTGCTGGCGTTGCCGACCTTAACCATCGAATGGACTCCATCGCGCCTCCAGCACCTGCAGCTGTGGCGCCAGTGTCATTACTTCAAGCCCTTCAGCAGAACCAAAGTACTAGCAGTAAGGCGAAAGTCGTGCTCTCAATTTCCACGACTGCACCGCCGCTGGGCCAAAGCCGCTCGAATAGTTTCAGCTTTTCGCCGATGGACCCTGATGCCTCACCGCGCGGGACAGCGGTGCATACAACCAACGAATTCCTGAAGGGCTCGCAGTTCGCTGCTTGTCTGACTGAAGTGACACCTTCCGTCTCGCCCGTGTCGAGTGTTCGCTCTGGGGCCGGGCCTTCCGTTGAAACTCTCGATCCTGGCGCAGCCTCAGTACTGCGAAAGCTACAGAATGGTCTTCGAGGACGCGGGATTCAAGCGCTTGTAGAGCTAGGACGTTGTCTACGTCTGGGCGATGCAGACGGTGACGGATTGCTTACTCTTGGAGAGTTTCGGCGTGCTCTGCAGAACTCCTACGAAGCTACTAGCGCAACAACGCCAAATTACACGCCACTCAGCGATGCCGATCTCCGTGGACTCTTCCGCCACTTGGACTGCGATCGAACGGGGTCCGTTCCTATTGATTCGGCGCTGGATCTGGTGCGCGGAACCATGAGTGCTCGCCGATTGCGACTCGTTCATTCTGCGTACCAGACGTTGGCTCGGGAAACGGGAACTGGGATGCTAGATGCCTGTGATGTTGTCCAGCGGTACGACGCAAGTCGTCATCCTGATGTGATCGCTCAGCGAAAGAGCGAGGAGCAATGCTTTCGTGAGTTTGTGGAGAACTTCGACATGGATGAAAGTGGCGGTGAGGGCCCCAGTGGTGCCCCAGGCAAAATTTTACCTCGACAGTGGGAAGCGTACTACCACAACGTCAGCTTCCTCGTTCCGGACGACGACTTGTTCGAGCTCATTGTGCGCAATACCTGGCAGCTCCCGTCGACGGGGAGCCCTACTCAAGCGGGTAGTAAGAGGCACCCACCTCCACCGATTCTAACGGAGAGTCCACGAGGAAGTAGTTTTGCTGGGAATGGAGTGCGTCAGCCCACACCAACCAGCGGTGAGGTCACCTGGCGCGGAAGGCGCAGTACTGGTCCAGGCATGGCAAGCCAACAAGCATTTGCGGTTCTCCAGCCAGACTTGGCGGATCATGTGCCTCCATCGGGGGTTATCAGCCCTTCCAGTGCCATGAACTTGGCCCCACCCCGGTCTCCTGGCAAGCAGTCCAAAGATCTTCGCCGCATGGTTCATTCCCTCCGGTGTGAGTTGAAGGAGCGCGGGCTGGGAGGGTTTATCACGCTGCAGCAGCAGCTCCGTCGAGCGGCGGGGCGATCGGATGACGACTACGTAGACGAACTCAACGACGGGAGCGTCGGCTTTCACGAATTTGTTCGTGCGCTGAAAAGCAGTGGCGTGCATGTCACCGGCCGTGACGCCCAAGCTTTGTTTTACCACTTCGACAGCAACCATGATGGGACCATGAGTGTCTCGGAGTTCCTGACGGGGGTGCGTGAACCTATGAATGCTCGGCGCCAACTCGTGGTGCGGATGGCATTCGACACCCTCGATCGATCAGGAAGCGGTGAGCTCGATGCAGGCGCAGTTGCCGCTGCGTTCGATGCTAGGCGGCTGCCTGAGGTCTTGACTGGTCGAAAGACCGACTGCGAGGCGCACGCAGAATTCCTGGACATCTTCGGCCTTGTGACTGAGCGGCAACGCCAACGGCGCATCAACTTCGATGTGTGGGAACGCTTCTACGCTAACGTGAGCGCTGCGATCGACGAGGACGAACAGTTCGAGCAAATGGTGCGTAATGCATGGCACGTCGGACCTGGTTCAGGAGGACGCGTGCCGGCGGCAGGTAGCAGACCAGCATCCGCTGATGGAATCCGCGTTCACTCTCAGCGAGTCGACCCTGGACGCTCGAGTTTGCACGAGATACTGGACCACTCGTCATCGTACACGAGTAGTCCGACTTCTTCCAGTGCTGGCCCCAGCCCAAGCATGACACTTCGGAGAGCGAGAAATAACGTGAGCAACTCCATCGCCGCTTGTCTCGGCAGCGCTCCGTCTTCACAGCAGCAACGCTCGTCCACAGAGATATCGACTGGCTTAACTTCGCCTGGAAAACGCGAGTTCCACCTCCACCCAGCCGGAGTTCAGGCCATCTTGACGAGGCTCAAGCAAGTGCTTCAATCCCAAGGCACCCCAGGCTTCTGCACGCTCAACCGGCGTCTACAACTGGCTCGAGGCAATGCCATGAACTTACAGGACCTTCGTGGTGCAGCTGTGGACTGCGAATTAACTCTCCCGGGTGGTCTTACCGACGGGGACCTCCGACTACTCTTCCAGTATCTGGACAGCGATGGTGACGGCCGCGTGGCGCCGGACGAATTGATCAACATCGTGCGGCCTGCACTAATAGGACGCAGACTGGAGTGCGTCCACGAAGCTTTCGCAAAATTGGCCAAGATGAGAAATACTCGAGATGCGGAAAAAGCCTTACTGGAGCCAAGCGACGTCGTCGAGGAGTTCAATGCAAGTGCACACCCCGACGTATTGGCTGGTCGCCGAGGAGTTGATCATGTGTATCGAGAATTCCTCGAGACGTTTGATATCGACGGTGGGGCTCAGGACGGGAAGGTTACGTGGGACCAGTGGCGGGGGTACTATCACAACGTCAGTGCTAGTATCGCCTCGGACAAGCTCTTCGAAGAGATGGTGTGCAACGTGTGGCACATCGATAGTAGCAACAGCAAGTCTTCGTACAAATCTGACGTGGACGCGGATACAGCGACCCAACCACAGCAGCAGCAAGACAACCAGCGAAGTACGACGCCTCTAGCTGCGGGGGTCCGATCCACCCCCGCTGCGCCAGAGCTGCCGGTACAGTTGGCCAGAGAGCGGAAGATCTTGTCTCTGAAAGACGTCGCGAGTGGCGCGATGACCGATCCCAATCGGTCGACATCATCGAGGGGCCAACCTCTGGGCATTGAAGCTGCACCAACCTACACCGGTGACACGGTTCTCCATGCAATCCGGTACCGCATTCGACAGAGCAACTCGCTGGCAGACGTCGTCCAGCTCCGCGCGCGGTTGCACCAGGCGGCCGACCCTCGGTCGGGGACCATCACGTACCTGCGCTGCTGCGACGCGTTAAATAGCGCGCTGGGGCTCGCTATGGGCGAGGCCCAAGGCCGCGCGCTGTTCGAGCACCTCTCGCACTTCTACCAGAGCAACGGCGACGACAGCAGCAGCGCAGGTGAGCGCTTCCTCCAGCACCAGCACCGAGTCAACGGCTACGACGGCGCCGGCAACCGCCTGCCGCTGCAGCTGGTGCTCGGGTGTCTGCTCGAGCGCCTGAGCGCGCCGTGTCTGGCCAGCGCCACGCAGGTGTTCTCGACGTTGCAGGCAGCTGGCAAGGGCCGCGTCTTCCCCGCGGTGCTTGCGTCGAGCTTCCAGGCCGCGCGGCACCCAGACGTTGTGCTCGGTCGCGCCAGCGCGGCCCAAGTGTTCCAGGACTTTGCGCTCAACTTCGAGGTGGCCGGCGGAGCCGCTGGCGACGGCGTCGTGTCCTTCCAGCACTTCGAGGCCTACTGCGTGAACCTGCGCGCCGCGCTGGGCAGCGACGAGCTGCTGCAGCTCGTGCTGCGCGACTGCTTCGGCGGCAACACAAGTTGAAGTTCATGTAGCCATCTCGGTAATCGATAGCTTCAAGTTGCGTGTTCGGGGTGTCTCGTTGCGCGATAAAGGTGTCGACAAACGATGGACGGTCTCCATAAAACCAACCTAAGTCAGGCAATTGCGCCTGGCTATCCACATGATCTGTCAGATCTTATGCACATGAAGTTGTACGTCAGCGGCCACAACCATACAAATCGTTCCTTCAAAACAGATATCCTACCTTATTCCAAAATATAGAGTCTAGGTCCGACCGTTATGCGCCTTGCGCGATTGATTGAACACAGTCGAATTCCTGCATCGCTCTGATCGCGGCGGGCTCCGAAGCGCGTCGTCGCCCCAGCTTCTTCTGCGCATAAAGATCACTACCGCCGCATTGATCAAGGCCAGGTGACCAAGACGCAGCTATCAGGCAGCTCGCAGCTTCCTCCCACTCGGACGCGTGTCAATGAGCAGGAAGCGGCAGCGCAGCACGTCGGGCCTCCCGCAAGACCTCGCGACGCTGCGACCCAGCGAGCGCCAACGGGATCCTGCAGCGCAGAGCGACGGGCTGCTGGAGCCCGCACCGCTTGGCCCCGACGGCGAGAGCAAATGGGCCCAGCCGGTCGAGGACGGTCTCAACGCTCGTGGCAGCAATAGCAATGCTCCGCGCGTCACGAGTCCAGGTACTTGGTCGCCCACCGTGACGTCGTCGACGACCGTAAAGCACCAAGAGACCAAGGCAGCGGTGGAGGCGGACGGCAAGGCCGCCGATGGACAGGAAGAGGTTGATGATCTCAATGCTGCGTTGCCTAGACGCCGCGCCATCGTCTGGTTCAAGCGCGACCTGAGGATGCACGACAACTTGGCGCTGGACGCGGCCGTCCGCGCGCAGCAGCTGCTGCAGCGAGCAGGAGGGGGCGACATGGCGCTGCTGCCCGTGTACATCCTGCACCGACCCAAGCACCAGCGCTGCGGCGCCGTGCGCTTCCAGTTCTTGCTCGAGGCAGTGGAGGATTTGGCCAAGTCCATCAAAAACCTACAGGGGCGACTGTTGGTTTTGCGCGGCGACGCGGACGAAGTACTGCGAGCAGTGATGACCGCCTGGGGCATCACGGACCTGTTCTTCGAGGCCGGAGTTATGCTCTACTCGGTCGCGCGCGACAACCGCGTTCGCGCCGTAGCGGAGACGCTGGACGTGAAGGTGACATCCATCCGGGGAGTCACGCTCTATGACCCGCACGAAATCATCCGCCTGAATGGCGGCCAGCCCCCAACCGACTACGAGCGGCTTCTGGAGATCACGGACAACATGCCGCAGCCAGCGCAGCCCATTCCAGCCCCAGTGAAGCTCTCAAACGCTGCGGCATTCACGCCTGATCAGTTGTTCTCGTGGCTGAAGCACTTCTACCGGCAGGATCCGAGTGCAGCGAACGTGATCGCTGGAGTTGAGGCGGAGAAGGAGGGCGCCACCCCCGAGCCGTTTGTCGTCCCGCCTCTCACTGCTCTAGGACTGACACCGCCAAGCCCGCACGCCGCGTTCTACGGAGGTGAGAGCGAGGCCATGAAGAGGTTGGACGCCTTCTGCCAGGAAGAGCGTCGTGTGGGGCTGTTCGAGAAGCCCAAGACCTCCCCGGTTGCGTTCGACCCGCCGTCCACGACCACGCTCAGCGCGTACCTGACCTTCGGCTGCTTGAGCGCGCGCGAGTTCTTCTATCGCATCATGTTCATCCAGCTCAAGTTTCCGCTTCGACCGGGCCCGACTCAGGTGACGCTCGAAGGCCAGCTCATGTGGCGCGAGTTCTTCTACTGCTACGCTTGCGGCACGCCGGGCTTCGACTCTCAAAAGCAAAACCCGGGTTGCAAGCAAATCGACTGGCGGCTGCGCGCTGAAGTGTACGACTCACACCCTGAGCAGCACCACCAGGGCGCCATCGTCACGAAGGATGCGGACGAGAAGCTTGCGCTGCACCAGTTGCAATGCTGGAAGGAAGGACGCACTGGGTTCCCGTGGATCGACGCGGTCATGCGGCAGATCAACCAGGAAGGGTGGGCGCACCACGCTGGACGCCACGCTGTAGCTTGCTTCCTTACGCGTGGTGTGCTCTACATCTCGTGGCTGCAAGGTGCAGCGTACTTCCAGGAGAAGCTCATCGACATGGACTGGCCGATCAACATTGGTAATTGGCTCTGGGTGAGTGCGAGCTGCTTCTTCTCCAACTACCGCCGGGTGGCGTCGCCCACCACGTTCCCACAGCGCTGGGACCAGCATGGCGAGTTCATTCGCAAGTACATCCCAGCGCTCCGCAACATGCCCGACAAGTTCATCTTCGAGCCGTGGAAGGCGCCGCTGAGAGTGCAGCGCGACGCTTGCTGTCTTATGGGCAAAGACTACCCCTTTCCCATCGTGGACAGCAAGACCGCAATGTCGAGGTGCGCCGCAGGCATGAGCCAAGCCTTCTCCGACTCGACCACGTCTTCAGCCACGACCACGCGGCAGACAGATGACACGGAGGCGGGCAGTACCTCGCCCTGGAACGCCAACGACATGTGCTACAGCTACCGAGGTCCCGCGCCGATGTCACCACACCCGTGATCCACTCACTTCAACATCATGAGACGAGGCAACGACGTACGTACGTAGCGATGTCCCGTTCCCGCAGTCTAAAGCAAAAGCAAAATAAATTATCGTCTTCGGGACTTCCTAGCTTAGCTTAGCTCGACAGTTTCTTCTTGCGTGCATGCTAGACTCGACCGCGCACATCTCTAGACAACCGCTCCATCGCTGGGCTGCATGGATCTGTATGAAGCCTGCGAGAATGGCAACGAGGAACGTGTGGTGGAGTTGCTAGTGGTGGGGCATGATGCAGGGCTCACCCCGTCCCCAGAACTTCAACTTCAGGTTCGAGGAATTGCTGGTAGAACAGCTCTACTGGCTGCGTGCATGGGAGGCCAAACGAGCGTCGTCCGACTGCTTCTAGGCGAAAAGTGCGCCGTGCACTTCACGAGTCGGTCCGAGGGGGAGGTACGGGAGCTGTTGAAGCCGCTGGTGCATGCGTTCCAGGAAACGTTTGGCCCGGACGCTGTTGGCGCGCTTTTCAAGGTGAGTATGGTGATGAAAGACAGCGGATCGGATGCAGTGCCCATGGTTGAGGTGCAGCTTCCGCCTAACTGGGCCATCCCACCGAGCGAACTGTTAGAAGGCAGGCAGCACGTGGACGATTTTGGCAACACTCCGTTGCAGTGCGTGAGCTGCTTCGGCTGCGGCTCCAGTGTCAAGCACGTGGATGACGGTCTGGAGATCACTCGGCAGCTGCTGCTTCATGGAGACCAGCCCAACCTCCCCAAGAAGAGCAACAAGTGGACGCCGCTGCATTGGGGCGCGTACAACGGGAACCACGAACAGATTGCGATGCTGCTGGACCCAGTGGTTCACGTCGGTGATGGCACGCAGAGGTTCGCTAAGACGCAGCATGGTATCCCCTTGTTGATGGATACAGACGATCTTTTCCCAGTCGACATTGCTGGACGCCGCGGGCTCGCTCTGCGAGACGAAAGGGTTGCTTTGCAAAGGCAATTATCTTCTGGTGAAGACGATGTCAATGATGAATACGCTCACTGGCGCCTCCGACTTGACCACGTTGAAGCCGTACGGTTATTCATCCACGATTTTGTCGCGAATGGAGCGCACCTGACGCGGTACGTGGGCGAGATGAACGCTCGCAACCCGCAGCATCTGCAGCAGAATAAGCGCAGCAAAGCCAACGCCGTGACGATTCAGGACGCAGTTCGCTACGGCCAACACCTTCTCTACTGGGCTGGCTGCTTCGGTCTAGTGGATGAGGTACGCTCGCTGCTCCGGTTAGAGTTGAAAATGAGCTCTGTGGGTGGTGGTGCTAGCACCGCTGGGAAGGCTGCCGTTAAACCGTCAGTGGCTCAGGGTGGAGACAACCAAGCCATCAAAATCTCGCTCAGGATACTGTACACGTGCTCGTGCGAGGCTGGCAAGAGGCAGTCGGTGCTCCACGCTGTTGCTGGCCATGGCCAGCTCGAAATGCTGAAGCTACTGCTCGATCAAATGCTCTTTGACCAGCAGTGTCCTTCGGATGCTGCCACTTTTGTCGGTAGCTCCATGACCAGCTCCTTGCTGAAAGGAGGCAAACCCAAGAAGAACATCGTCGTCCCTACCGCAAAGGAGGCTGAAGTATCCAAGCCCAATGAATTGGAGCGAGCTGAAAGTGATAAGCATGATCACCTCGAGATCGCAGAGCTTGTGAATGCCGGTTGGAGGAACTACCGGAATGAGACGCCGCTATTCCACGCGGTGATTTACTTGCAAGAGCGTGCTGTGCGTATGTTTGCTGGTATTCTCAGTCCGAAGAGCCTCGCCTGGGAGCTACAAAACGTGAATGTCGAGGGATCATCGCTGCACCATGTCGCCAGCGAGGACACACGGCGTGTGCTGGGCATTGAGCACCAAGCTGCCCGGCCTGAGTACGTTCTACTCTTCGATGGGATCAAAAAGAAGCAGTTTAAAGAGACCGTTATCGAGACGATGCACGAGGAGAGCTTCATTGCGCCCTCGCTGGTCGTGTCTCGGGCAGGTATGAAGGATTTAGCCGCTGGAATGTGCTGGGCACAGGGTCAAACTGATTATCTCGTGGTCGGCGCCACGGACGATGTGCTCGTCCAGCAAGCTCAGGTGCTGCAGTTGAAGGTGAAGCACCGCGGGTCCTCGTCTCGGTCCAAGTACGACGCTAGTTCACCCGAATTGTACGAAAGTTTTCGGTCGCTGCAGCGGCAGCAAGTCATTCGCAGCATCATCCAGAGAAAGATCAATCTACAGAAGCACCTCAAGAACGGCAACATCAAGAGCATCTTCCCACTGCACGATGCCATGGGCTGCCGCAACATCATTCGGCACTGGGGGTACACGGACTCCTACCAGCGTATTTTCCAGCCGTTCACAGGCAACAGCGTCGAGCAGTTTTTATTCGAGCGTAAGAAACACCAGTACGAAATGTTGTGGCCTTTGCTAACGTATTTTGGCGAGAAGCACGCGTTCTATTACGCTTTCGTGACATTCTACACCGTGTGGCTGCTCCCCATGGCCTTGGTTGGAGTGACGTGCCAATTGCTCTGGCTGGTCGACGACGTGAGCTTTGTGCCGCCTCTTTTCGCGATCGTGGTGTCCATTTGGGCCACGCTCATGGTCGAGCGCTGGAAGCGCAAGCGAAGTGAGATTCAGAGGAAGTTTGGACACTTTCGGCGCAATCGCAGCGAGGAAACACCGGGATTCTACGGGGACTTCCAGGTTGAAACTACGTTAGTGCGAGTGAAAACCGCAGTGGACGTGAACTTCCCCCGAGCTCTACAGCTTGCGAGGGTCTACACAGGTCTCCCTCTGTTGATGACGATGGGCATAGCAGCGGTGGCGATTTTCGTGGCGGTGAAGACAAACACTGCGTCTTCAGCCATTGTCCACAACGCTATGCCTTGGCTACCAACCCTTCTGGTGCCTTACGTCGTGCCACTGATGAACGCTATATCGATGCTTCTACTCGATAACTGGTACACACGTCTTGCTCGAGCGCTCACGACGTGGGAGAACCACCGAACTGTGTGGGAGTTTGAGTCCATGCTGGCGGTCAAATTGTTCTGGTTCAAGTTCCTCAACGCGTTCATCTCTCTCTTCTGGATCGCGTTCGTGGATCAAAACGCTGCTGCACTCCGCAAGCAGCTCTTAATCATCATGGGTGTTCGGCAGCTCTGGAATTCAATGAAGCGCGATATGTTACCCATGCTTCATGTGCGTTATAAGTGGAAGAGCGCCGGGTTTCGCTTCCGATCGACAACCAGTATACCTCGAGCGAACCATTGCTGGTCGTTGTCGAGTCATGAATGGTACGATGTAGAGCTGTCCCACCCAATCGCTGCATCATCTCGTGAGGGCGAGCGGCAGCCTCCTCCCCCCATTGTACTCGTTCAGGAACTCATGTACCCTCACGACTTTTTAATGGGGAAGCAGATGGAGGTCGTGCTGCAGTTCGGCTACATCACCATGTTCGTCTCCGTACTGCCTGTAGCGCCACTATTTGCTCTGCTTAGTAACGTAGTAGCAATGCGTCTGGACGTATTGAGCTGCACTCAAGCCAAACAGCGCCCGCCGTTCGAGAGCGAAACTGAAGTGTCGACTTTCATGAGCATCCTCGAGTTTATGAGCTTCGCCGCTGTGGCAGTAAACTGCGCCGTCCTCTTTTTCACGACCAGGTCGGACTTTGAGAGTTTAATGCAGGTGACCATTCCAGGGTGGGGTGACGATCTAGTGGACGCATCGGAGAGCTCCAGCGTCTACGTGAAGGAGCTCTGGATTCTCCTTGTGATTGAGCACGTCGTGCTAGGTGCCAAAGCTCTCTTATCACTGGTAATCGACGATTCTGCGTCGTGGGTGCGGCTTGATGAAGACCAAAGCGACGAAGAAGAAAAGAAGAGGATGCTTGGAGCCGCGACGGAATCGAATCCGCCAACCGCGAGATCGGCAACAGCATCGAACGAAGAAGCGCAGGCTGTGGTGCATCGAGGGAGTGCAGACCTCAACTCCTCCAAACTCAACCAGGTCCTGGCGAAGCAGTACTTGGCGGCGTTGCAGGAGAGGGATGAGGCGCTGCAACGGGAGCAGACAACCCGGCAACTCCTCGCCGAATCGATGAAGAGAGTGCAGGGTGCAGAATTCCAATCTACCGTCGTCCCCTTTGCCAACAGAGTGGAGCCACCACCCGAGATGTCGTCGGGTAGGGCCAAGCCGGAAGGGCGCGAGAGCACGAAAGAAGACGAAAGATTGAGCTTAGTTGACGTTGATGCAAGCAACGGTGGAATGCCGCATCGACGACACTGCTTCGTGTGTTATGCGTTGGGAGATGTCGTAAAGACATGGGAGAAGCGCTGTTTGTCGTGCCACATTGCGCTGTGCCTGTCGTGCGATGAAATCCTTCACCTGGACGACCTCGGAGTGAAGGAGCCAGCTCACTTCCGCATCAAAGTTCCTGTTGGGCAGCTGAGCGAGACTGAAGACCACGAGCTGTTGCAGCGCGATAGCTCTGGAGTGTTGGCCGGTCGGCGGCACTCTCGACGCTGCAGTAAGCACGAGAAGAAGCATTTGAAGGAATTGCGACGACACGTGGAGAGTTTCATTGCCAAACAACACAGTCTTCCTGACGCAGAGCTGCACCTGACTGCCGACAAAGCGTTCAAGCGATGCTGTATCAACATTCGCATCGCGTTGCGCTACCTTCGCAACCATGAGCGACAGAGTTCGTATCTGGGAGGCTTGAATCCGGCGGTCTCACCAGCACTTACCCCAGTGTCCAAAGAGCTCTAAGGCCTCGACACCAGTTCGATAGCAAGCGGTGGGTATCGAGCAACTATCCGGCAACTTACTGACGGCGTTCGAAGAACTCGCGGATAGCGCGAATGTCGTCGGGGGAGGTCCTGCAGCAGCCGCCGAAGATGCGCGCGCCGGCGTCATACCACTTGGGCAGGAACTCCTCCCACGAGCTGGGGCCGCCCGTGCTGTCGGCAGGGAGCCACTTCTTGTTCACGCCATCCCATCCTTCGCCGCTGTTCGGGTAGACAGCCTTGGGCCACGCAGCAGCGTCCAACTTGCGCAGCAGACTCTCAACGTGCTGCGGGGGCGTACAGTTAATGCCGATGGCCAGCAGCTGCGACGGGTTCTTAAGCTTGGACAGAACCTCGGTCATACGCGCAATGGGCTCGCCGCTGTTGAGCTCCGTGCCGTTGCGGCAGGCCACCGCCACGATCGCGTGAGCTGTGGGGAACTCGTTCAGCAGGTCCACAAAGGCCTCCACCTCCACGAGGCACGGGATCGTCTCGCAGATGAGGAAGTCGGCCGGCGCGTAGTTGGTGAAGTAGGCGAAGCGGTGCTTGTGCCAGGCCACGAGCTCCTCCTTGGTCATTCCGTAGTCACCGCGGTACTCCTGGAACACACGACCCCGACAACTTGTTAGTCACAGCACGTTATCCAAATCTTTGATCGCGACTCACCGATCCGTCGGCCAGCGCGGCGCCGTAGCAGCCGATGCTGGCGCCCACCAGCGGCTTGATGCGCTTGGTCTGGTCCAGCTCGCTCCAGGCCGCGTCGCGCGCCTGCACGCCGAGGTCGATGCTCTTGGCGAAGAGCTTCTCGACGTCCTCGATGGCCGTGACGCCCTCGCGCTTGAAGCCGTCGACCGAGGCCTGGTAGCTGGCCGTGGTGGCCACGTCGGCGCCCGCCAGGAAGTACGTCTTGTGCGCGTCCACGACCACGGACTGCAGGTGCGCGTTCTTCTCCAGCAGCAGCGAGGCCGACCAGAGGCTGCTGGCGCTCAGGTCCACGCGCGGGTCCTTCTCCAGCTCGGTGGCGAACCCGCCGTCCAGCACGACGACGCGGCTCTTGTCGGCCAGCAGTTGCTGCAGACCGGTCAACGCGGACGAGGAGGAGCTCATGGTTGGTGCGTACGTGCGGGGCTTGACGTTGACGTTGGGGGCGTGTGACGGAACCGGTGGCCGCCAGGTTCAGACTGATTACGATTGGTGGAAATGCAAGTCCACCGTGACACAATGACATGCAAGCGACCTCCGTCCTCAATAGCATACAAACATCAAGTCAAGAGCCGTTACGGTGGGAGGGGTGACCACTAGCGGAGACTGAGTCGGCATTGCACCAGCACGGGAACGGACATTGAGCTTTGCTGGCGTGTTGAGGCATTAGCCAACTTCCAGTGCGAGGCTCAGGGCTCTTCAGGCCGCTCCGGTGCCTCTCTACTGCTTGCAAGTCGCTCGCCGCTATCATGTGCCAGGCCCCGACGAGCAAGACGCCGCTGGTGGCGGCCGCGCCTGCGCACTCGCAGTCGCTGTGGCAGCCCAAGCTCATGTACCTCGTCAGCAACGCGTGGACGTCGGCGCAGATGAACTTCCTTCCCGTCTTCTTCCAACAGACAGCGCAGTTCTCCAAGGTGCAGATCGGCGTGCTGCAGACGCTGCCCTGCGTGTGCACCATGCTGGCGCCACCGTTCTGGGGGGCCGTGGCCGACCGCATCCGCGACCAGCGACTCATCCACGTCTACTGCATCGTCACGGGCGCCGTGCTCATGTTCGCCGCGCGCTTCTTCTACTGGTCGTTCAACTGGATGGTGCTGGTCGTCGTTGTGTCTAACTTCCAGGTGGCCCCGACCGGGTCGCTGCTGGACCACGCAGTGCTGAGTCTGCTGGATCAGGTCGGCGGCGAGTACGGCAAGCAGCGGCTGTTCGGCGCGCTCGGCTACGGTGTCGGAGCCTACATCACGGGGCTCATCGTGGCCGTCGCCGGCATCTCGTGGTCGTTCAACGTCAGCTTGGTGCTCGGCCTCACGTCGCTGCTCGTGCTGCGCACGATCCCGCCGATGAAACATAGTGGCCTGCACCATGACGGGACGCTGGAAAGCGGCGTTGCCAAGACACCGTCCTTCACGGACAACCTCCGCCTGATCTGCAAGCAGGTGGACGTATTCGTGCTGCTGACCGTCGTCTTCTTGATGGGGCTTATGTACGGCGCGCTATCGAGCTTCCTCACGCTCAACCTGTACAACCTCTCGGGCGAGAACGCGCAGATTGTGGGGATCGCCATCTTGTGCGAGACTGCGTCGGAGCTGCCGGCCTTCTTCTATTCGCACAAGATCATCAACCGTTTCGGCATCGTCAACGTGCTGCTGCTGTCCATCATGGGCTACGCGCTTCGCGTCTCGTACTACGCCGTCATGACCAACGCGTGGACCGCCATCCCGTTCGAGTTCCTGCACGGCGTGACCTACGGCCTGGCGTGGGCGGCCTGCACGCAGTACGTGTATTCGGCAGCTCCTCCTGGCTGCGAGGGCACGGTCATGGGTGTGCTGAACGCCGTGCAGAACGGCCTCGCGCGTGGCATCGGCACGCTCATCGGCGGCTTCTTCTACCAGCACTACGGGGCGCGCACCATGTGGCTCGTCACCGACCTGGGCGTGCCACTTGCGCTCGTCGGGCTGTTCGTGTTCGCGCGCCTCAAGACCAAGAGCAACGTGGTGGTGCTCGAGACCCATCACCTGGAAGAGGCTGAGCTCTTCTCGCCGCACGCTGGAAACCCGCAGGCGCTCCACGCTCACGCTGGCCAGACGTTCGAGGACATCCAGTAAGCCCGTAGACTCGATGTAGACGCAGTCAATACGCATATATTTACACGCCATAGACGCCTATAGTTTACTGTAACACCGAAGCAGCAATGTACACTGCAACAACAATGTACTTGTCTCGCTGTGATGGACGGAAGGACCCTTCTTGACGCTTCAACCACATGTTTTCAGCCAATAATCATCCACCACTACTCAATATACAGCCAATCAGACTCATTGGAGCTTCCAAGCTGACCATTCCGCGGCTCGATCCCCATGACGGACCCTTCCCCGCCGCCTTCAGCGTCGCTGCTGCCGCCCGAGGACGACGCCGACCTCGTCAACTTCGCGTCCTCGCTGCTGGACGCCGCCGACGCGGACTCGGAGCTGCCGGAGTCGGCGCTGGATGCCGCGACGCTTGACGCCGTGCACGCGGCCATCAACGCGCCGTCGGAACTCGAGTCCGAGTCGCTTCTGGAGCAGAATCTGCTAGAGCAGCACCAAGAACCACCTCCTTCAGTCAACGAGGACCAGAAAGAGCCGATTGCGAGCGAAATCGGCCCAGGAACCAGCTCAGGACGAGCCGGAGAAGAGGAGATCAGGGTGCTCATGTGGTTCCGACGAGACCTGCGTCTGCACGACAACCTGGCGCTCTCCGAGGCGCTGCAGCTGGTCAAGCAGCAAGAGGGGGAGATGGCGCAGACTACCGGTCACAAGGTGCTGTTCATCCCGCTGTACATCGTACACCGCCCCAAGATCATGCTGTGCGGCGTCAACCGCTTCCAGTTCATGCTCGAGAGCGTGTCGGACCTGGCCGACGCCTTGGCGGCGCGCGGCTCGCGTCTTGTCGTGGCGAGAGGAGACGGACTGCAGGTGTTGAGGCGCCTGCTGCCGGCCTGGCGCATCACGCATCTCTTCTTCGACGCAGCTAGCGAGCCGTTCGCTATCGCCCGAGACAACCGCGCGGTGGATCTGGCCAGGCATCTGGGCATCCAGACCCACGTGACACACGGATATACGCTGTACGACTTGGATGCAGTCATTGCTGGAAACGAAGGAGAGCCGCCAAAGACATACACGGCCTTCCTCCGCTCGTTGGCCATGCAGTCCAAGCCTCCGAAGCCGCTTCCGACACCGGAAAAATTACCGACTCCCACATGGATGCCGAGCGAGCTGTATCAGCAGGTTGTGGACTACTGGAAGGTGCGGATGAAACCTGAAAAGGTGACGGTGCAGTCCGAAGCGAAGGAGGAGAAGAGTGAAGAAAATGAGGAGGAAGACGAAGAAGACGAGCCCGAGGAAAAGGAGCGGCAGCTGAAGGAGATTGCCGGCCCGGAGCAGCAGTTCACGCTGCCAGAGGTGACCGACTTCGGGTACGCAGCCCCCGAGCGTCATCCCTTTATCTACGGGGGAGAACAGATCGCGTTAAGCATCCTGCGCGACTACTGCCGCAACGAAGGTCGCGTGGTGAAGTTCGAGAAGCCCAAAACGTCCCCAGCGCAGACGACTCCATCTGCGTCGACCACGTCGTTGAGTCCGTACTTGTACTTCGGTTGCATCAGTCCCCGTACGTTTCTGCATCATGTGCAATCCATTCAGGAGCACCACGCGAAAGCACTATCAGCGACCCCGGTGAGCTTGGACGGTCAGTTGCTCTGGCGGGAGTTCTTCCATTGCCATGGCCGCGCCAACCCGTACTTCGACAAGATGGAGGAGAGCCCCACCTGCCTGCAGATCGACTGGCGATGGCATACTATCCCAGAGAAGGAGGAAGACTTGACTGATGACGACAAGCTCGCACGCTCGCAGTTCGAGGCTTGGAAAGATGGGCGGACGGGCTTCCCGTGGATCGACGCTATCATGATCCAGTTGAAGGAGGAAGGGTGGATGCACCACTTGGCCCGGCATTCTGTTGCGTGCTTCCTTACTCGCGGTGATCTGTACATTTCGTGGGTTCGCGGCCTCGAGATCTTCCAGGAGCGACTCATTGACCACGACTGGAGCATCAATGCTGGCAACTGGCTGTGGCTCAGTAGCAGCTACTTCTTCTCCGCGTACTTCCGCGTGTACTCCCCGTCAACTTTCGGTAAGAAATGGGACCCTGAAGGCCTATTCATTCGGAAGTATGTGCCGGCGCTAAGCAAGATGCCAGTCAAGTATATCTATGAGCCGTGGAGGGCGCCCATGACGGTGCAGCATGCTGCTGGCTGCCTCATCGGCAAGGACTACCCGTTCCCCATTGTAGACCACAAGATCGCTATGCGCCGATGTATGGCCGGTATGAAGAAGTCATACGCCATCGGACAGTACGGCACCCCACCGGTTCCTAGGCCCCCCACGAGCCCCCGCTTCAAACGTCCGCGTGAAAACTCGGCGAGCTCGTCAGAAACGTCAGAAGACTCGACGCAGTAGTGGTGTCGTTACTGAGAGCCAATGGACTGTGTGTATTGTGTCGCGGTATCTTGCTAGTTTTGAGCGATGGTAGCAGATAAGTCTACATTCGCGAGACGAGCAGGAAGTGAATAGCGATTGATGGGCAATGGACATTCGAGAAGGTTCCTTGGTTCGCCTCAGATACCGATTCGTGTGCTCTCCAGCAAGTTATGCCCAACAACAATAGCTCGGGTACGCGGTACTGCCTCCTTCGACTTCTGGTAATGGTCGGCACAACACTTGGAGTGGCGTTGGTGGTCATGGCTATCACTAGGGCACGTAGCAGCCCCAGTTCCCGCCGCGCTTTATCTGTGCTCGATGGACGGAACGGGAGTCTCCAGGGTGCGCGTTATGCAATGCCTGAGGGGCCTCCTGGTCCACGCTTTCAACGTGGATGGTCTCCTCATAGAGACGAGTGGGGGCACCACGAGCATCATGGTGACCACGAGCACCACGACGAAGACAATGACGACGATGAGGATTCGAAGGATGACAACGACGACGACGAAGATGACAGTGACAGCAGTCAAAGCAGCAGCGCGAGCAATAGCAAGGCCGAGTCTGCAGCCATCCAGTCGAGTGTCGTCACGAACCTGGACGGTATCAACATCGGCAACACCATCACGATCATCAACATCGGCACAGGCAGCCAGGGCAACAGCAGTGGATCGGCCGACGACTATGGGTACGCTTGGAATGAGAAGACTCCTAGCGATGACGACTCGCTCCCAGTGAGTGATTCGGATCGCTCCGCTATCACCTCCGCAGCCGTTCGTGCATTCTGCGAGTCTATCGACTGCAGCCGCTCCAAAAGCTTCAAGGACACGGCGACGGCGGGGGGTCCTGCACCGATGATGCCGGCGTTTAGTGCTGGCAACCGAGAGGTAGGCACCGATGTGCAGCATGAGACGCCAGCGGCGAAGAGCTCCTGTAGCGCAATGAACGCGAACCTGGCCAGGTGGCTGGTTATCATCGCGATAATTATCCAACTCCGCTGACTATCGATGGAGTTTGCTTTCATTAGGATGGCCTTCGATCATTTACGAATACACTTAACTAGGAGAATCGAATCCGCTAACCCGCTTTACGCGGTAGCCCGCACTCTCTTGACGACACCCCTTATATTTTCCGGGGCATCCGATGTAGTAGTCTCCCTTCTTCGGCGTTTGCCATGGCAGCTCGTGGATGTGTCGGCTGATGAACCGTTGGCGTGAACCATGGCCACACTGACTTGGCACGGTTGTGGCCGCTTCATGAATGGCGATATCCGGGCCATGGTGATCTTCACTGCGGCACGCAGCGTCTCGTCACCGACTGAGCGGCTCAGTAGTTCTGACGACGTGAGACCGTCGTGCTCTGGCGGCAAAACCAGCGTCGACTGCACGGCCGCAATGGCGAATGTGCCCGCGTACGCCTTTGGTAGCTGGAAGCGACACAATGGACACGTGCTCCGGCGTGTGAGCCACGACTGCGCGCAGCCGCAGTGGAAGCGGTGGCCGCACGGCAACTGCAGCGTGGAGGTGGCCAAATTGGACAGCGGCGAGCTGGCCATGCAGATAGAGCACGTGATCTCCTGTCCAGCGGGTGGGCCGATTCTTTCGGCGTCGCGCACCATCTTGGTGAGCGCTTTGGGGTCGGTGGGCGAGATCCGCTTGAGCTGGGGCACCACCTGTCTCAATACGAGCCTCACCCACGTGGGGCTCTCGAAGTGCCGCAGGACGTCGCCAACGCATTCGGAGCGCTGCGGCGTGTAGCGGGCGGTCACGTTCAGCTGCAGCTCCATGGCGTCCTGTGTGCTAGAGTCTTTGATATGTAGCTGTTCCTGTAGCTGATTCCTGTTGTGCTGTTCCTGCCCCGCCGCGAATCCTGAAATGTGGCGATCCGAAGCGAACCAAGGCGGCTGCGAGGATACTGCGGCGTTGAAGACGGCGCAGTGGGTCCAGTTAAAGCAAGCGGCGGGGTGCGGAAGGTGGGAGCGCGCGGGCAGTCTATCGCATGCAAGCTGCCTTGACATCCTGGTGTTCGCCGCATCTTAATCGCTTGCTGAAGTTTGCGCCAAGTCGTTGACGTTTTGGTCCGACGCCGCCGGACGATTCACGTGACGACGCCATCGGGCCGAGATAGCGTGGGCTGCGCGGACGAGCAGTGCCAGGCCGGGTGTATCCTTGCAGCAGCTTGGCCGCGAGGTACGGGATCCGATGCGTCACCAGGAACGGGGCAGAGCGCTCCGGCCGTCACGGGTGGTGATGCATTCACTGCCCCGGATAAACTTCGTCGTCGACAATGCGGGGCGGGGCGGCGCGGTGTACAGCTGCTTCCGTCGAGATCCCTTTTGTCTGGTCGGGCAGCTTTTAGCTCCGATGCAGCCTCGCTGCGGGGCCAGGGATCGACAATGTGTGGCCCCATCGGGCGGTGAAAAGGTTGACACGGATACATGCGCTGTCTTTCTCGAGAGCGCAAGGATCCCGGCGCGAGCAGTGTCGGGACGAGCGGACCAGTTGCTGGCTGGGGCAGCGGCACCGCTTTGGCGTTGCTTTCAACCGTGTGTGTACTCAATCGTTTCTTACCGCATCTGAACTACGTACAGTGTACTACTTCTCGATGCCGACTCGTTGCCGTTTGCTCACCTCGGCTTGCTGCTTTCGTCGACAGCAGCGCCGCTTTCTGCCCGTCTCCCTCGGCGCCACGCGCGA